AATCAGAACCAGCACTGCTGAATAATGGTCTGATCGCCTTGATAAGTTTAGGAGATTTTATAATAGGATTGTATATCACTGTCATCATCGTCTATGACAGCTACTATGGCACAAAAATACTGCTTGACGCACTTAGACTGGATTTCTAGTGACACGTGTGTCGCCCTTGGTGCCATAAGTACAACAGCTTCACATATTTCGTTATTTTCCATGACCTTCTTGAGTTTACATAGGTTGTCAGGGGTTAAAAATGACTTCATGATCCCGAAAAGTGTTACAAATTCAAGCTTGGAGAAGTTGGCGGGTATGGGTGTCATAATACTAACCGTCTCTCTGGTGATCTCATTGACACCTCTTTTGAGAACACTGGAAGATTTCTTTGTCAATGGAATAAGGTTTGAAGCATCAAATACTTTATTTCATGGATGTCCTAACAAACAAATTCTGTTGTCTATACTGCATGAATACTATGGCAGGATGACGGTGGACGACCTCACATGGGTACAGATTGAGACTTTGGTGAATCCCATGTTTTCAAATGATTATGGTGGAATTTCGTACAAGCGTCAATCATTTTATGGTAACGATGCAGTGTGCTTGTTTAAGTATTTTGTCAGAAAAGATGAGCCGCAGGGAATATTTGTTTTTGTTATACTCAGTCTCAACTTTACGTGCTTTGTTGTGATCGGAGTTTCGTATGGTGCAGTAGTGACGACAACTAGAAAATCGACCAACAGAGTAACCATGAACAATACAGACAAAACAGCTACGAAAATAAACGCCAAACTTCATCGAATCACCATCTGGATCATTTTCACTGACTTCGTGTGTTGGGTCCCTTTTATTATAGTCTGCTGCTTTCATTATTTAGATATTTTTGATGCAACAGACTGGTACTCCTTTTTTTCGCTCTTAGTCCTTCCAATAAACTCAGTCATAAATCCTATCCTTTATGATCGTTCTATGGAAACATTAATTTATTCAATATACTTTAAAATAAGAACAGGAATGATGAACCTGTTATCACTCATCAAGTTAAGACGATCGAATATAGTTCAAGAAAATGCAAATGCCGTTGTAGATCCAGGCATAGAACTACAAGAAATGGAGCCCGCTGTTAATCAAATGGCAGTTGGGACTGCATCTGAACCGCAATCATCAGTTGTAGTTAAACCATCAGTAACTCGATCGACCACTCGTAGACCACTGTTTATTTTTTAAATTTGATAGAATTTATTTTTGTTTTTCAAAAATGATGTTGACTTTTCGATATGACGTAGCTGTTTCCGTATAGCCTAAGTATGCGCGTTTGAAGGACTATGAACATGCTAGCTCTTTTCATTTTGTTAGTTGGGCGGCATTTTGGGATGTCTACTTATATTTTTTTTAATAGTTATATCATTCTTCATTGTAATGGCAATACAATTTAAATTTTGTTTTATTTAAAATGTTGTTTTACTTATTGAAACCTACCTACGCCTTAATATCACTAGCAGCAACCCATCTAACCCTAAAATGGTGTCAAGACTTGAGAGACTAAAATAGATTATTTAGATATTACCTATCTAGGTAAACTTAAAACTATAGGTAAAAATATAATATTAATCATAAGCTAAAATGTACTAATCTTTGTATTCTAAATGGGGAAAAAGAAGAAACATTGTCAGTCAGTCGAGAAAATTGTCAGTCAGGCTATATGGCAGCTTTGTAGATGTTGTGACAATGCTAGTAGTGGTCCCAGGCTTGCGACTGGAATTGCGGTGTTAAATCGATTTAATGGTATACCAACGATCCACCTCCCACTTGTTGTTTGGTGCTTAGCATTAATAGTGTTAGCTGTAGCCATTTATAGCAAGAATCTTAAAACTAAAGGGAATGACAAGGAAAAGAGGAAGGAAAAAGAATAACGGAACAAACAATTAATTAAAGTATTTACAGGAGCATTAGTTATTATAATTACAAGCTTCAATAATAAATCACTGACTAAAACATCTAATTAAAATGACACTTGGTACGCTCGCCCATTTTCACTGGTCAGTCTGAACTTCGGTTTAGCACGTTGTACACTTATTCACCTAAATTTCAGAATTTTTTCCAGTTTAGCAGAGTTAGTACCCGTGTTTCAATAAAATCAAATGATATCAGGGGAGTTATTTAATAATGTTATGGTCATCTAGAATACCAAACTTCCTGAAAACGTTATTATATTTCCTCAGACAACGTTTAATACCTTTAATCAGTCTATCACGGCTATATCCTCTATCAATTAGAATTTTGAATATCTTGTGAAGATGGGAGGTAAAGATATCCAATCTAGTGCAAACATTTAATTTTCGTTTTTGACACCACTTGGGAGTCCAAATTTTGGGCACTAAAATTCTTATTCATTGGCCAATTTTGTATTGTTTCATGCTGATTTGAAGGCCATTAAAGTATTTGACCCAGTCAAAAAAGTTTCAATTGTATATCTTTTACGGTTTTTGTGGAAAGTCGAGTTAAAGTTGATGCCGTGATGTCAGTAAAATGGCACGGATCCATACATATATATCGTCTCGCTTTATATATAGTAAGATTTTTTTATTGACATCTTTCAATTATTATCATCAGAATTTATTACAATATCAATGTTGTATAGAATTTCTAAAAATGGACTAGAGAAACCAAGAAATGCCTTGACAAGTGTACAGCGATGATAACAATCAGGGGACACCAATACACCCAAATAACCAAACAAAAGGCCTCGAGAGACCTGATGAAAAGTCGAGCAATTACATTGGGCCCCAAGTGCAGAAGGAGAAAAATGGGCAAATAATACGAGCTGTGACCTTAGGAGGCATTTCTAGGTTTTTAAGAATAATGGCCACAACCCAGAAATTCTCAATTACAATTGGCTGATTTGTAATATTGTCAATGGAATGACGTTCTAACGATAAAATTTAAATAATTGAATATAAAAGACTAAATCAAAATTGTATCCGAATAAAGCAAAAATGCGTGATGAGTTATGAGTACCTCAAAAAAAATAAAAACAAAAATAATAGATAAATACACTACCCGTAGTCAGGAGAAAAAGAATTGTCAGGATCTGAACTAGGGTCAATATCTACAGATGCAGTACAAACATGTTCCTTCCAGATGTGTTTAATAAGTTCTGTTTTAAACACACCTGGTCTGATAATCTCTCGAAGGGAAAGAGGAAGTCGGTTCCAAGTGAGATGAGCTCGATAAAAGTAAGATTTAGATATAGCTGAGCCAAGTTGAATTGAAGATATTACTGATAAGTGATCAAGATGTGAGCTTCTCAGTCGGCTTGACCCGGAGAAGAAAGTAAGGTAATTAGGCAGAGTGGTGCAAAGGTGGTATTGATGCACTAGGGAATGAAAGAACTTGAGATCATGGTTATCAAACCTGTACTTTAGGGGCAGAATATGGCCATACAAATGTGTGAAAGGTTTGAGTAAAGTGTGATCTTTAAGTCTCGAGGTATGGGCCTTTGATATTGGCCTGAGATAGGGTTTTTCGGGTTTTCAATGGATATCTCAAGTTCGGCTGCTTAAAATTTAACCAAAATCTCACCGATTATCCGTCTCCTGGCCATACAGCGATGTGAAAAGGTTGAAGAAAGTGAGACTTTTGAGTCTCGAGATATGCGCCTTTGTGACCCCCAAAAAAGCCCCTTTGGATTAGGTTTCCTGTGTTTGCAAGAATATCTTGAGTTCGGCTGCTTAAAATTGGCCGTAAATTTCACCGATTATTCGTCTCCTGGCCATACAACTGCGTGAAAAGTTTGAAGAAAGTGGGACTTTTGAGTCTCGAGATATGCGCCTTTGTGACCCCCAAGTTTGAGTATGCAGGGAGGCTACAATGGATTCATCAAGTTGGATTACTATTGTATTTACTCAAGTTGCAATTAGTATCACTAAAAGAGGTGCGCTGTAAATAAAACAATACAGGTCCACTAACAGATAAAACATGTAGAATATAGTTGGGGTGCAGTATCTCCAAAATCGCCTGATAAACAGTTACCATGGTTCCTAGAAGTTAGACTGACCCGATATAGTCTGTTACCATGGTTACTATAAGTTAGACTGACCCGATATAGTCAGTTACCATGGTTACTATAAGTTAGACTGACCCGATATAGTGAGTTACCATGGTTACTAGAAGTTAGACTGACCCGATATAGTGAGTTACCATGGTTATTAGAAGTTAGACTGACCCGATATAGTCAGTTACCATGGTTACTATAAGTTAGACTGACCCGATATAGTGAGTTACCATGGTTATTAGAAGTTAGACTGACCCGATATAGTCAGTTACCATGGTTACTATAAGTTAGACTGACCCGATATAGTGAGTTACCATGGTTACTAGAAGTTAGACTGACCCGATATAGTGAGTTACCATGGTTATTAGAAGTTAGACTGACCCGATATAGTGAGTTACCATGGTTATTAGAAGTTAGACTGACCCGATATAGTGAGTTACCATGGTTACTAGAAGTTAGACTGACCCGATATAGTGAGTTACCATGGTTATTAGAAGTTAGACTGACCCGATATAGTCTGTTACCATGGTTACTATAAGTTAGACTGACCCGATATAGTGAGTTACCATGGTTACTATAAGTTAGACTGACCCGATATAGTGAGTTACCATGGTTACTAGAAGTTAGACTGACCCGATATAGTCAGTTACCATGGTTACTATAAGTTAGACTGACCCGATATAGTCAGTTACCATGGTTACTATAAGTTAGACTGACCCGATATAGTCAGTTACCATGGTTACTATAAGTTAGACTGACCCGATATAGTCTGTTACCATGGTTATTAGAAGTTAGACTGACCTGATATAGTCAGTTACCATGGTTACTATAAGTTAGACTGACCCGATATAGTCAGTTACCATGGTTACTATAAGTTAGACTGACCCGATATAGTCAGTTACCATGGTTACTATAAGTTAGACTGACCCGATATAGTCAGTTACCATGGTTACTAGAAGTTAGACTGACCTGATATAGAAGTAAGACTGAGATCGGAGAGAACTGTCTCCACAGCTACGTTGCTTTTCTTTTTAACGCAGCTCCGTTGTATTGGCAGGTGATATGCTGAACCAAGTGCTAGTTGATACGTAAATAATAAGGAGAGGCAATTAATATCATAATTGTAAATAATTATTCATAAAATTATCAAATATCAAATTGGAGGTTACATGGTAGTGTTGCTATGGTTACATGGTGTGACTTACAAGGTCGGCGGGACTTCATCTGTAGAGGACTCGGTTTCAGCAGCGTGTCTCCAGGTAGATGTATAGGTAACAGGTCTCTGGGTAATGTTATGAGTTCCACTGGAGGGGGACTTGTGCGGGGCGAGGTCCCACACTTGGGCATTTGCCAGGCATCCTGCACTTCCTTTACTAGTCCTGCGTGGAGAGGGGGTTAGACACGACTGGATAGGGGGGGGGGGGGGTTAGAGAGGGATGGGTTGGTGGAGAGGGATGGGTTGGTGGAGAGAGGGTTAGAGAAGGGTGGGTTGGCGGAGAGAGGGTTAGAGAAGGGTGGGTTGGCGGAGAGAGGGTTAGAGAAGGGTGGGTTGGTGGAGAAGGGTTAGAGAGGGGTGGGTTGGTGGAGAGAGGGTTAGAGAGGGGTGGGTTGGTGGAGAGAGGGTTAGAGAGGGTGGGTTGGTGGAGAGAGGGTTAGAGAGGGGTGGGTTGGTGGAGAGAGGGTTAGAGAGGGGTGGGTTGGTGGAGAGAGGGTTAGAGAGGGGTGGGTTGGTGGAGAGAGGGTTAGAGAGGGGTGGGTTGGTGGAGAAGGGTTAGAGAGGGGTGGGTTGGTGGAGAGAGGGTTAGAGAGGGGTGGGTTGGTGGAGAGAGGGTTAGAGAGGGGTGTGTTGGTGGAGAGAGGGTTAGAGATGGGTGGGTTAGTTGAGAGAGGGTAAGAGATGGGTGGGTTAGTTGAGAGAGGGTTAGAGAGGGGTGGGTTGGTGGAGAGAGGGTTAGAGAGGGGTGGGTTGGTGGAGAGAGGGTTAGAGAGGGGAGGGTTGGTGGAGAGAGGGTTAGAGAGGGGTGGGTTGGTGGAGAGAGGGTTAGAGATGGGTGGGTTGGTGGAGAGAGGGTTAGAGAGGGGTGGGTTGGTGGAGAGAGGGTTAGAGAGGGGTGGGTTGGTGAGAGAGGGTTAGAGAGGGGTGGGTTGGTGGAGAGAGGGTTAGAGAGGGGTGGGTTGGTGGAGAGAGGGTTAGAGAGGGGTGGGTTGGTGGAGAGGGTTAGAGAGGGGTGGGTTGGTGGAGAAGGGTTAGAGAGGGGTGGGTTGGTGGAGAGAGGGTTAGAGAGGGGTGGGTTGGTGGAGAGAGGGTTAGAGAGGGGTGGGTTGGTAGAGAGGGTTAGAGAGGGGTGGGTTGGTGGAGAGAGGGTTAGAGAGGGGTGGGTTGGTGGAGAGAGGGTTAGAGAGGGGTGGGTTGGTGGAGAGAGGGTTAGAGAGGGGTGGGTTGGTGGAGAGAGGGTTAGAGAGGGGTGGGTTGGTGGAGAGAGGGTTAGAGAGGGGTGGGTTGGTGGAGAGGGTTAGAGAGGGGTGGGTTGGTGGAGAGAGGGTTAGAGAGGGGTGGGTTGATGGAGAGAGGGTTAGAGAGGGGTGGGTTGGTGGAGAGAGGGTTAGAGAGGGGTGGAGAGAGCTCTCTAGGGTTACAGAGGGAGTTTTGAGGGGTGGAGAGGGGGTTAGAAAAAATGGGATTGTTGTCAAATGAAGTTGACATCTAAGAAGCATCTTATTAAAAGGGGTATGATCAAAATATAGATGGGAATGAGGAGGGTTATAATAGTACAGTAAGTTGTACGGTTACCATAAAAACCACTAGTGAGTGTGAAGCTGCATTTATTGTATCAAGATTATCTTAGATAACGGCTTTCGCTCCGTATCGAATATCTCGAGTGTATATATCTGATTTCAGATGACGTAATCATCAGGACTCACGCAATCTAGCTTTACTGGAGCAATACTCCTCCAAATCTTTAACAGAAATAACAGGAGTACAGGAGAAGTTGTCTATTTCTTTCTGTTTACTGAGCCTCCCAGTAGCTCTGGGCAGGATCCTGAACTCAACACGGGGCAGCAACATCACAAAACAGCTCTAAAATCAGTGGCGTTCCTAGTCCTCCTACATCATTCCTCCCTGAGTATTCAAAACGAGCTGGCAATCAAAATATTCTAATATTCTACTTAACAAAGCGCATTGTGACATGGACATTGTCTGATCATTTTAAAAGTGAAGACATGCGAGCATCTTGTGCCTACATGCTCGTTTGAATATGATCGAATATCCCGGGTTTCACTCAAATTGCGGTAACACCTCCACGAGGGGCTCTGCACCACCGCCGCGCCAAAACAATCACACCTCAAATAGTAGTTTAATCATGCACAAGAGCGAAATCAGAGTTTGCGAAACGCATTATAAGTCGGATTAGCTCTTGCAACTGAAAATGTAATAAAGGCAACACTTGTAAACAAATATACCATATTTATAATACTATCACAGAGCCACACCGTTAACGATAGCAAGATACACGCTAGGTACCGACTCTGACAGAGAGCACAGGAGTTAACAAAGGTCTAAATAATGCAACCTTGATCGTGCAACAAGCCGCTCTTAGCCAGCTCGTATTAATCAGTAGTAGTATTGCTCAGAGTATACACGTCTAATGTAGGGCTGGTTGTAGCAAGCATTTTATTGATAAACAATCATTATTCATTATGTAATGGCATACCGGTACTTTGATAAGATAATAACTATCATCCTCTCTATCTAGATCGTGGGAAATTATTAGGATTGGATAAGAATGGATGATCGTTCCAGATTAGATTTCGCCGACCCTAAATTAAGTTTTCTTTTAGGAAAACTTAAGAAAGAGAACGCATGATTGTTGTATTAACTGATGCGTGATTTTCAAGCAAAACGAGTTAGGAAGTCTGTCAAGAAGACTGTATCGGTAATAACAAATAGTCCGTAAAGGCGGCTCCAAACAGCATCGCTCAGCAGTTATACATCCAGCGTCGCAATTTATTAGCAATACTTCAGGAGAGACCTGCCCTTGTATCTTGTCAGGCTATTAGGAGAGACCTGGACACCTGTTGAAAAGTATCTACTATATCATGTAAATCATGTAGTAAGTAGTAAGTAGTCATGCTAATTGTCACTACTATGTAGCGAATTGTAACTCAGAGATTTGCACCCGCGCAGATGGAACGAGTACACCTCATCTTCAGCAACAGAAATATACTGTGGAGGATCTAACAATCTATAGTGGACGAATAAACGCATAGATTGAACTACATTATAACAGCAACGAAAACACAGTTTCACATCCGGTTATCCACCAATCAATTATGAAATAAAGTAAAGTGTGTCAAAGACGCAATGTGTACCGAATAGGACGCTATCTAAGACGCTAAGCTGCATGCTAACACTTTTATGTGCGAGTTTCAAGATATTTCTCTGTTAGGATAATTGAAGATCACCTGAGAGTTAGATACACATTTACACAACTAGCTACATAGTAGTAGTAACTTGTAACTATGGTAACTACGGTAACTAGTAATGCTACCATAGTTACCGTAGTTAAGTAGTTAGATGTCCTTCCTGCACGTTTATCCGACAAGATACACAGTATAGTAAGGGGAAAAGTGGCATTCCGTTGGATTTGAATGTTCACAAGGATTTCTCAACGGAATATGGTAGTTAAGACCCCTACGAACATAATTAGACTTGTTGCCAATTTTGTATCTCAACAGAAACACCACTTTTACCACTTTTTACCACCTTTGTACCACCTGTCTGGTTTGCCAAATATCTTTAGTTGTGAACGTCGTAAAAGGCTGCAAATTAACCTAGAATGTTTATCTTATCAAGGAGTAAAACTTTTGTGCGAAAAATTTTTACATTGGACAATCAGCTAATTGGATAATTACCAATTAGTTAATCACCAAAAAAAGTGAAAATTTTTTATTGGCTCAAAATGATTGAAATCGTTTGAAACACGGAGAAATGTAGTTTTTAGAAAAACTTCAAAAATTTTTCACTTAAAAATTTTTTTCGAGACTTGGAAAAAAGTTTGAAAATTTAAAAATATTTTTTTCCGCCAAAAGTGATCGAATTGCATGAAACGTGGATAAAAATGCTTTGCAGAAAAACTTCGAAGATTTTGAGATAGGGGAATACTAAAATCATCAATATTTGAAGTTGGAGTTCAGTAAATCTCGACATATTTTAGTAATTAGGAATAGCTTAGCGGAAAGGGCTGAACCTGAAAAAGGTTAACCACACAATATTAGAGTTTCATAACTAATTACAATATTGCTTTATCAAATTCCACATAAAGAAACAGCACAAAAGGACCATTTAAGATCGAACCGATTTTACCTGCTGTACTATCATTTTATTGATTTCAATGATCAAAACCTCTGTACCGTCAATCTTGCCAATCTATACCGGGTATCTGAATGTACCGGACCTCTTATTTACCTCTATAATTAGACCCAGTTGTGCAAGAAATGCGATTTCTCACAGGGGTTTCTTTTAACTGTGCACTTTTTGTCACTCTCGCAACTCGCAAGAGGCCCGGTATTATAGGGGGGTATAGGAAGCGAGTGTAAATATACCTTCCATCATCCACTGTAGCTTTTTTGTATTGGTAATGCGCATGCCGCTTCGTTTGCTATGCAAGATACCTCGAATAACCCCCATATGTCATTGCCAGGGTCGGGATAGAGCTGGAGATAGCATTGAGAGGTTGCTAGAAATAACTAGACTTAGAGTAAACTGGTGGTAGCTGGGTGGTGCTAGCATGGATGTAGCAGAACGTAGCTACACGGGGTTTCATTGGAGTTGGTTATTTTAATGGCCAAAGAGTGCCGGAACTAAAGTTACTTAAGATTGCAGTTGAGGGGCAGTGTAAACCACGGTGTAGTCAGGGACACAGAGCTACAGTGCAGGAGTACTGCAAGTGCAAAAGAACAGTGCAAGTGATACAGTATGCAACAGTAAAACGCCGAAGAAGGAGATAAGATTGTGGCTGCAGAGGAGGAGAGGAGCTGGAACCTGATTTTGTTTGGGTTGAAAGAAGAGTAGGAAGAAGAGTTTCCTGCTCTGGTAACTGCATTTTTGGAAGAGGTGGGGTGAGAACTTATTTTCAAGCGACAAGGGTGGGCTGGAAGCAACCAGGTACAGCTATCCGACCTATTAAGATCACCGTCCTGAGCTTAACAGCCTTTCATCAGAATCTGATGAAAACAGAGAGACTGACCAACCCTTTTTATATTGATTGATCAAAGTGAGTCTCTTTAGCCCTCTTCTTCTTTAGAGCTTTAGGTTAGTGATCAAACTCTTCGCTACTCGCTCTTCACTGGATCTATCAGGACAGATTCACATCTTTTTAGGTCTCAACCAGCCTTAGTTTTCCTGTTTTCATCATGTAGTACGTTCTGCTACCTCCATTTTAGCACCACCCAGCTTCCATCAGTTCACTCTAAGTCTAGCTTCGTCGGCGTTTTACTGTTGCAGACTGTATCACTTGCACTGTTCTATTGCACTTGCAGTACTCCTGCACTGTAGCTCTGTGTCCCTGACTACACCGTGGTTTACACTGCCCCTCAACTGCAATCTTAAGTAACTTTAGTTCCGGCACTCTTTGGCCATTAAAATAACCAACTCCAATGAAACCCCGTGTAGCTACGTTCTGCTACATCCATGCTAGCACCACCCAGCTACCACCAGTTTACTCTAAATCTAGCTATTTCTAGCAACTTTTCAATGCTATCTCCAGCTCTATCCCGACCCTGGCAATGACATATGGGGGTTATTCGAGGTATCTGGCATAGCAAACGAAGCGGCATGCGCATTCACAATACAAAAAAGCCACAATGGGGGCACAGTGGATGATGGAAGGTATATTTACACTCGCTTCCTATACCCCCCTATAATACCGGGCCTCTTGCGAGTTGCGAGAGTGACAAAAAGTGCACAGTTAAAAGAAACCCCTTTGAGAAATCGCATTTCTTGCACAACTGGGTCTAATTATAGAGGTAAATAAGAGGTCCGGTACATTCAGATACCCGGTATAGATTGGCAAGATTGACGGTACAGAGGTTTTGATCATTGAAATCAATAAAATGATAGTACAGCAGGTAAAATCGGTTCGATCCTAAATGGTCCTTTTGTGCTGTTTCTTTATGTGGAATTTGTGGAATGAAAGCTGTATTGTAATTAGTTATGAAACTCTAATATTGTGTGGTTAACCTTTTTCAGGTTCGGCCCTTTCCGCTAAGCTATTCCTAATTACTAAAATATGTCGAGATTTACTGAACTCCAACTTCAAATATTGATGATTTTAGTATTCCCCAATCTCAAAATCTTCGAAGTTTTTCTGCAAAGCATTTTTATCCACGTTTCATGCAATTCGATCACTTTTGGCGGAAAAAAATATTTTTAAATTTTCAAACTTTTTTTTCAAGTCTCGAAAAAAATTTTTAAGTGAAAAATTTTTGAAGTTTTTCTAAAAACTACATTTCTCCGTGTTTCAAACGATTTCAATCATTTTGAGCCAATAAAAAATTTTCACTTTTTTTGGTGATTAACTAATTGGTAATTATCCAATTAGCTGATTGTCCAATGTAAAAATTTTTCGCACAAAAGTTTTACTCCTTGATAAGATAAACATTCTAGGTTAATTTGCAGCCTTTTACGACGTTCACAACTAAAGATATTTGGCAAACCAGACAGGTGGTACAAAGGTGGTAAAAAGTGGTAAAAGTGGTGTTTCTGTTGAGATACAAAATTGGCAACAAGTCTAATTATGTTCGTAGGGGTCTTAACTACCATATTCCGTTGAGAAATCCTTGTGAACATTCAAATCCAACGGAACCCTTAAATCGACCACTTTTCCCCTTACTAGTAGGTAATTAATATGAACGATGCACGCAAAAGTTTTTAGATAACTTTACAAGATATTTTAATAACGGATATGGCAAGAATACCTACAATTTGAGGATCACGTTTTAGTAGTGTTACCATAGTTACCATTCAGTGCAGCTGTGGTAGTAAGTAAATAGTTCACAGAGGGAGGGTATCTTCACAGCTAGCTAAAAGCTATATATTTACAGTATACAATGCAATAGATGACCGGAGGGACCTTATATAGTATTGTCTCATCACGTGACAGGTGACTTGCTATCATATAAATGTAATCTCAAGAAATATTAACGGTGATGCTAGGGTCAAATTTGCTGCACCGTAGTTTTGTAGATTAGAAGGCGGACCTATGGAATATGACTCTGCAAAATCAGCTCTCTATAACACTTTATATTACACTCGGAAAACATTACAGAATCTCTCTTATGAAGTAAATCGTAAGACAATAAATCCGTGATATATTGAAGGAAAGTCATCGTTGTTAAATACGTCAAAAAATCGGCTCAAAATACGGCGTATTAAATGTTCGAGAGAAATACGTAAGAATACGTGAAGCTTCCAATCAATAAGCCCGAAGAAATTTAATTTAGACCCTGTTAAATTTTGTCCAGAATACTTTTAAAATTTTTCCGAAATACGTGCGCAGATCAAATTAACGCCGCGCATTTTGAATTCGGTGAATTTTCTGAGCGTTAAAGAAATAAATCAAAATTCGCGTTGGATAAATCTAGTTGGGGCACACTTTGTCGGAGAAGGAACCCGTGTTGTTAAGAAGTGCAGACTGCAGGTGACAGAGGAATCTAAACAAAGAGCTAAAAGACGCAAAGTTACAGAACTGTTCGATCAAACCACCCTTCTGTGTGCTCAGGGAACCTATCGCGGAATTCTTCCTTGTTGAAGCTATTCCTTTCTCTAAAGTCGAGAGCCCGTACTTCCTTAATATGGTCCAAGCCCTCTCCACTATGGGGAGAAGAGTCTCAGTTCCGGTAAGGCAAACTCTAGCCACCACTCTCACTGATCAGAAGTATCATCAAGTAGCGACTATGGTCGCTAATGCTACTTTAGACCGCGGACCGCAATTTATTGTAAAATATTTATTGTAAAAAATCGTTCTTACTCCACAGTGGAAATCGAAATACGCGAATTTTCGGAGACAAATACGTTTGCGTATGCATACGTTTGCTTGAAACGCTACGTATTTAACAGCATTGAGGAAAGTCAAACTAACCGATATCGTAGTGCTGGATGTAGACAGACTCACTGAGATCACTCAGGGAGATGTTGATCACTGATCTGCTGACAGAGCACTCTGAAGGGGACATGACGATGTCAGTAGGAGCAAGACTGTCCCCTCCTTCACTTTCATTCAGGTTCTGCGGAGAGGGCAGTTAGAGGGGGTTTAGAGGGGGAGGGGGTTGATTATTTATAATTAGGCCATTTTAGATAGTCTTCTTGAAAACTTTTGTATTATCATATATGGTAAAAATGCAAAATTTCCCATAACATTTGCAAGTATTGCTATCAACTCTACTGTCCAGGATCTACTGTGCTCTGTATTGTACCATGTTACCATAGTTACACTACTAGTTACCATGGTAACACTACATGTTGGTGTTGCTTGTTGTCCCCACAAACCTTGATATCCAGTTCAGGTTCCTCAAGGTCCGTGACGCACAGACCCTGCCAATCTGTGTTGTACTTCCCTTTGAAGGGCATCTGAAAAACGTTACGGTCAAAGTTTAGAGCTCCGACACTAATCGTTATACTCCTGGTCCCATCATAATACCTGGTTTTCAATATTACCCGATCCCTCGATTTACCGAAAGTACGTGCTACTCCTAGCCCTGCGTGAGAAGTTGATGTAAATCTGCCTACATTTAACGGTAATACACCCAGTAAATAAAGTTCTGGTCATAAATAATAATATTAATCTTATATTATGCTAGGTTTTCCCTTTATTTACACTAGATTAATGTTTCTCATTCAACATTGTCTCGTGTTTCTATACGTCAGTACTGCACAAGACCAATCACCCGTTCAGCACTTTGCTCCTTCATAAAGGTTTTCGATGTTTATTTTTACTACCCATGATCCGCACTCTGCAGTGTTATTTCTCAGTGTTGTTCACTTAAAACAAATAATATTACATTTTTGACATAACAATCCTACATTAGGGATCTTTCATCAAACTATTGATGTCACTGTGTTTACATATACTTAATCCGCTTAACCTGGTTTTAACTAACACAGTTTTAAACTAAAATCACCGTGCTCTTTTAGTATTCAAAATATGTCTCACGTGACTTATAAACCGTTTTATGATTAAATTTTAAACGGATTCTAAGTTGTAAAAACCTGCTTGCAACACCATATTCTCATGCTGCACTTATCATAATTCTAGCGGCAAAACTATTGAACAGTGCATAAAATGGTGCATAAATAGCGCATAAAACGGAAATTGCTTGTTATGGTGAGTTTCAAGGCAGATTTCAAATCTTTTAACCAACCACGATATTATGTTGCATCAGAACATTCAGGTTTTATTTACATAAAATCATCAAAACAATTATTAACATAGCACGTGATTAAATAACGCTTTTAAAGTCCCAGAACTTGATTAAATACGTTTTAAAGTTCATCAAGTAAAGATCCATTCTCTGGAATTTGGTAGTTTTCAATACTGGTGGAGGAGGTAATGTAACCATAATAACACTGCCATATAACTTATAAGGCAATATATATAACCATAGTAACACTACAATTCTCTAGAATTTGTAATGTAAAACTCACGAGGTAGTTTTCAATGGTGGTGGAGGAGGCAATGTAACCATAATAACACTACCATATAAGGCAATATATATAACCATAGTAACACTACAATTCTCTAGAATTTGTAATGTAAAACTCACGAGGTAGTTTTCAATGGTGGTGGAGGAGGCAATGTAACCATAATAACACTGCCATATAAGGCAATATATATAACCATAGTAACACTACAATTATCTGGAATTTGTAATGTAAAACTCACGAGGTAGTTTTCAAATAAGTTTCGAAGGAAGGGGGGTGGAGTCCTTATTGCAGTCAAGACTGGCATCAGTATTGAAAATGACAAGATTGATGTCAGCTCTAGGGCTGAAATGATCTCAGTCAGCCTAAAATCAAACAACACATGCTACTGCATAACTGCCTGCTATAGAGTTGGCACCCTTGGTGAAAATAATTTTAATGAAATTGAGAAACACCTCAGAAATGTGGTAGGACGGAGAAAGTTTAAGGCCCACTTTGTAGTTGGGGACTTCAATCTACCTGAAGTTAACTGGTCAGACGGTGTGTCCCCCACACTTCTTGGTGGCCGTTTTATAGATCTGTTTAATGACCTAGGCTTAACACAAATGATAAACCAACCCACTCATGATAAAGGGAAGGTCCTCGATCTTCTCTTCTGTAATATGATAAGTGTTGTTGAAAATTTGGCGGTCCTGGGGAAAAATGAGATATGCTCCTCAGATCACTTTGGAATAACTTTTAGTGCTAAAATGAAGTTTAGAAAGAAGGTCACCAAACGAAAAATCTTAAATTACAAAAAAGCAGACTGGATCGGCCTGAACAATGATCTGAAATCAGTTAGATGGGATGATCACCTTAACTGTGATGCAGAAACAGGATGGTTCCGTTTTAAGAAAATCCTGTTCCATCACATACACAACCGAATCCCAACTATTACGATATCAGATAAGGATCAGCCACCCTGGTTTGACTCTGACACTTATCAGCTGTGTCTCAAAAAAGAAAAACTACGAGTCAAATCTAAAAGATCATGCCTAGCTGAGGACTATGAAAAGTTCTCACAATGTAGAAAAGATTTTCAAAATTTGGTCGACCAAAAAATGATATCAAATTTGAATGATGATGATGATCCAGCTCTTATATCAAAGAAATTCTGGAAACATGTCAAATCGACATCAAAATCTACTCGCATACCAGGAACAGTAAACTATAACGGCAGATTTAGAAACAATCACTTAGACCAAGCTGAAATGTTCAATGAATATTTTGCTGCACAGTTTTCCGAAGCGAGTAATTATGATGTTGATATTGATTATAGTAATGACTCAGTAAACGACATTGAGTTCAGTACCAGCAGAATCCGGAAAATCCTAAAAGATGTCAATGTTAATAAAGCTGCTGGTCCAGATGGTATCCATGGCAAAATTTTAAAGAACTGTAGAGATAGTATTGCATACCCACTCTCGAGCCTTTTTAAAATCTCTTATAATATAGGTCAGATACCATCTGAATGGAAATTTGCTAACGTAGTACCTGTGCGTAAGAAAGGCCCCAAAACTTTAGTTGAAAATTATCGGCCAATCTCTCTCACAAGCCTTACAATGAAAATTTTTGAAAAAATAGTGAGAGATGAACTGTTGGCAAAATGCCAGCATAAAATACATGACAACCAGCATGGTTTTCTTCCTCAGAGGTCTTGTACTACACAAATGGTCGGGTATATAGACTGTCTTTCACTGTCTATTAACGATAATATCAGAACTGATGTGGTATACTTTGACTTTGCCAAGGCCTTTGACTCAGTTAACCATGATGTCATCCTAGAGAAATTAAAATCGGAATTTGAAATTGATGGTACACTGTTGAAGTTTATTATGAACTATCTCAAAGACCGCAAACAGTGTGTTATTATTGGGGGATTCCAATCAGAACAAAAGAATGTCAAATCAGGAGTTCCCCAAGGCTCCATTTTAGGACCTCTGTTTTTTGTACTCTTTATTAATGACATGTCAGAATGCGTAAGTGAAGGTACAAAAATTGCCCTGTACGCTGATGACACCAAAATATAGCGTAAAATTGTGGGCTGGAGGGACCATGAGATCCTACAAGCAGATATAGATGCCCTGCATTGCTGGGCAGTAAGAAACAAAATGAAGTTTCACCCCAATAAGTGTAAGGTACTCTCTATATCAAGCAAATTGAGCGAAAAAGGAATTTTGAGTTTTTTCCCCTTTCAGCTCTTTGTCTACACCCTAGATGGAACGGCACTAGACTTCGTCCAGAGTGAAAAAGACCTTGGGGTCTTTGTTAGAACAGACCTTAAGTGGGAGGAGAACATAGTCAACCTTTGTACGAAAGCTAGTTCTCGTCTAGGTCTAATGAAAAGAACTCTACGGTTTATTAACGACCGTAAACAAAAACGGGCATTCTATCTAGCGCTGGTTAGGAGCCTTTTCGAAAATTGCAGTGTTGTATGGAGACCAACAAGTGTTGTCTTGAATAACAAAGTTGAAAACATTCAGCGCAGAGCAGTTAAGTGGATCCTTGGCGAACAGGATCATCACTATAATGACTTAGAATACTTGGCTCGATTAAGAGAGCTAGACATGTTGCCAATGGAGCTGAAGTTTGAATACACAGACTTACTATTATTCCATCAGATATACAATGGTCAATCTGTTCTGAAGCTCCCACCTTATTTAACCCCGATAACAACCAGTGAACAGGGTAGGTTGCGTTCAAACATAAGGCAACCCTCGAGATATAATGAAGTTGATACATCTCAAATGCCTGATATCAACCAGAGGCGACAGAACAGACACGACCACCTTTCCCTGAAGCAAAAGCTCACTCCTTTAAGAGAAGCTTCTTCTTCAGAACACACAGTGTCTGGAATGACCTACCAACTGACCTTAAAGAGATAAGTGATGCCGGAACTTTTAAGGCAAACCTGAAAAAACACTTTTGGGACAAATTGACAGACCCTGACTAAGTTAATGAGTGCAAATGATATTTATATGTGGGCCCCCGCCACTGATAGATCGGTCACGATACTGAATATAACAACTATAATATAAAAATAAATCTATTAAATAATATTAAATAACATTTACGTTCTGTCACCATGATTTGACCCTGGTGCAGTCCTCAGTTAATATACTTAACTGGATTACGCGAACTTTATATCCGACTGTAATCTTGCTTCTAAGCGCTGTAGAGTCAGGTCATGGATACATTATGTATTTATTTTGATAATTCTAAATTTGCGTGTTTAGATACATTTTGTGTGTTTAGATGGAGGTGGTGTTAGTCAGTCTGGGAGTAGAACTATTACTTGTAATACGTATACCCCCAGAACTTGTACCACTTAACCATGCTTTTAAGTATTTATACAATATGGACTACAACTTTTACCCTACAAATGCCTCATGATAATAATGTCGTATATTTTTAATTCTCTTTGCTGTATTGTATAATGTACTATTTGTAAAAGTTTCAAATCAATGGTGGTGGGGGAGGCAATGTAACCATAGCAAAACTACCATATAAGGCAATACATATATAACCATATTGACACTACAATTCTCTGGAATTTGTAATAAAAAATCAAATCAAATCAAAATATAATGACACAAACATCATCACACATCATCAAAAATATATCTACTAAAGTTTTAAAAATATCTTAAATCTATTGGCCTAAACAACCAAGATAAAATGAATCTAATTTACATACTTTCCACTACTATATAAGTTAATAAAGCGTTTCTTAGCAACATGAGGATGACACACAAGATATTCATTGTGCTTCTCTTTATTAGTAGCATAATTTAATCCCTCAATCTTTCCTAATACTTCCCCCCTCCAAAAAAAAGACTCTAACTTCTGTACTCTTTTTCTGAACGACTTTCCTTGTAGTTCCCTATCAAATAGATTAAATCAGAACATCTCCAACTAAATACAAACATTCTTGCATTTTTTCTGGTGAAAGGCACAGTGGACCCCAAATGTCCAAATGTCCCCAATGTCCAAAAAGGAGTAAATCTGATCTCACCCATCACGTGACCTACCCAATATACTTCACGGTTCAATAAACTGAGACGCAAAAGCTCCATCTCCAGCCCTAGAATGTGATTCTTTATATGAATATTCAATTCAACTAGGTTACGAGGGAAGTTTGCCGTCTTCTTAGTTCCAAGGTTGGGTGATGTCTTCCCTAAACAGGGGATACTAGGACCATGTAGAATTCACATTCTTCTCCCTCACATAATCTTTACACTGCACTAACTGGCCCACAAAAGCATTTTTCATTGAAAATGTCATTTAATAAAAGTATCTACCAAAGTATTGACAGTAAAAGTAACAGTACCGGTTTACCAACAAATTTCAAGTATTTTCAGAAAAACATTGTTTTGACGGACTAAGTATATTCAGATAGTTTTGGAAAGTTTGAAGTTAAATTTTAGTTTACAGATAAATGACTATAAATACCCTCTAGTTTTGATAACAATTAAGTAAACTCCTATCTTCGTAGTAACTTACAATATTCAGACTGTAACACCTCATCCAATTATCGTTATCAATCACGGGATGTAACCCCCTCTTTAGCAACGCTAGGAGGTTACTAGTTATTTTTAGAAGCTTTTTCCGCAGCTGCTTCAAGTTCTTCCTTGGAAAGTCGTCCTGAATGTTTATCTCTCTCAGCAGTCCTTTCTGTAGAACATCTAAAGTGGTGTCTGTGCAGTGTTTGGCACTCTTCTATTCTTATCTTCGTCAAACAAGCTCATAGATAACCCTCATTCCAACATTCCGAGATTCTCAAAATCACCTATCTCTTCTTCTTTCTCTCAAGTCAGGTTCTGACTCCGGTTACCACTAAGAAGGAGGGGATTATGTCAATATTCTCGTACACTTCTCTGTTACTGAGATGGTGGGGAGTTTTCTTTGTTTGTGTACAGACGGAGTCTGGTAATAGACTCTGTGTTACACAATGTGTTGATCAATTCGCACATTGTCTGTTTTAT